AGAGCAGAGAGTGCGGGGTATACACCGCAAGTCTACTATAATCTAAAATTAATCAGCGTGCCATTCATCGTCCCTGCACCACCACGCCGTGGAGCACACGGTGAATATTCTCGAAACCGACAGTCAAACTATGTCGCGCTACCCAGTGCTCTAAGTTTGTGGCGTCCGGGGTCTTTTTGTCAACTTTTCTGCCGGCTAGTTAGCTGCTCAAACGGCATACTGTGTGAAGTCTAGACAGTGTTTTCGAAAGTCTAAGGGAGAGGCTCCTCAGGTGTCGAATTCTGCTCGCTCAAATTAGTCTTGGGTGTCCTCTTCGATACCCTATTGCAGTGGCACGTGTTAGACGACACATGGGTCTACGTGGTCGTTTATAAGGCCGACCCAACTGCCTAATACGTTTAAATCGTCGTGGCCCTGTAAATCAAATAGTCAGGTTCTCCAGAAGGCAGCATATTCCATCCCGCTCAGGGACTGCGTGATTTTCTGATTTGGCTGAATAGTCTTTCGAGTACGCGTAACGAGTATTCTACTCAGTACTTGATGACACACTAAGATGGTTCCCCAATTCCTTGTCTGGTTTTCTGAATACGTTTTTTAAAATGATCATCGCATGCACCAGCTTTCCTTTATTTACAGTCAATCCACGTGTCCAGTGTAGTTATACTTATGGGACCTCAACTATTAGGCTTAAGCAACATTTTCGTTTCTTAAGTTTGAAATTCTAAAATTTATCCCCGCCCTCTTCTCCTCGTAGTTTGATTGCGAAGCTAGGGGGGATAGTGCTGCTGCTGTGGCTGCCTCCACCGAGGCGGATGACGAGGAAGCCGTACTGGGACCTGTGAAGAAGTTGGGCACGCAGGCAAAAACACGTTACTTAGTTGCAAAAGCTCGTGCTCTAGAGGAGGACAATGAAAAACTGCATGCCCAATTAAAAGACGCGGTGAGTATCTATACTGGCTAGGACTGCTTCATTCGGCCCCCATGGGATGAAACCGATAGTCTTTCGACTTTTCCGGTCCTTTTTACGTCTTTTTTTTCCCCAGTACTTTGTAAGTGCTGTTCCAGTCCTATCCATTTAAGTGACTTTGGATCCGTCTCAGTTACTTTTTACTTGAGATACCTCTTCTGGATCTCTGTGCATGTCACTTTTGCAGTTTCTCGACAACCCGAAAGTGCCCGATCCTAGAAAAGTGTCGTTTGTATACTCTTTTTGCACTCCTGTTTTTACAGTCGCCCCAGTTTAGCTGATACCGCCGTAAAGTCAAGCTGTATCCTCAGTGAATTTCACAGTCATTCACACAAATTTTAACTTTCACACTAAATTTGAACACCTAGCGGCCGTTTACTTTCACATGCTGGGTTGAGCACTTTCTTTGAAGACTGTTGAGGAAGTTTTTGTATGGTGTGCTCAATTTGGTGCGTCCCCGAAAGCTCATAATGCAGCTAGACTGGACACGTGACTAGAGCGTACGTATAGGTAGTGGCTAGTCTCGGCGTTTTAAGAAGACTGATCTCGACTGCTTCACCGTCGCCTCTGTAGCCCCTTCGAACCGTGGTGGCCAAGTACCTATCGTAAAGAATTACGAAACATATTACGCCGTCGAGCTAACCACCGCCACCAGCACTTTGACTTTCACCTGAAAAATTGCATATAATAAATGCTCCTCCACTGTAATGATTTTGTATCCAGTAGGTCAGTATATCTCAGGCAATCTTCGATAACGTCGATTGAGCCGACAAGTCAGGCCACAATAGACCTGTTTACTCTTGACTTATTCTCAATTACGCTTGAAGTTGGGCGAGCGTGAGCAGATCTGAGCCTCCTCAGATCGATGTGATTTCAGTCCATCTAACGAGACTTTAAAAAATGCCGAATGACAGCCTCGTTGACCTTTCCCTCCCCCGTGATGAAACTGCATAAGGGCACATCCGTAACAAAGAACAGCCAATCAGCTGTCAGCAAGCGGAGCTTGCGTCTGTTGGGCGCGAGTGCAAAAGCGAAAGTTCAGCTGCATATGCGGTCTCTTGCAGAGATCAACTTCTTTTC